TTTTTTTTTTTTTTTTTTTTTTTTTTTTTTTTTTTTTCAAACCAAATTTTCACGAAAAAAATAAAGTAAAAAAAAAACCTGTACATTGATTGCAAATAACGAATTTAATGACCATAATATAATCATTCCATTTACGTTTGAATAATCATGAAGACTATGTTACAAAATGATGAAAATAAGTGAAAACTTTTATTTAAAAAAATAGAAATATATTGTTGAGATATACAATTTTTTTATTCCTACATAGGATTGGAAAATAATTCTTTTTTTTTCTTCGTAAAACCAGGTATTTTTAGAGGTCTGTATTCGAATTTATTAAGACGATATTAAGTAACAAGTATCTAATAAATATTTCAAGCAATAAAAATTACTAACTCGTAACGATTCCAAATTCATTAAATTATTTTTGGAGCTAAAAATTGCAATGTCCTCTGCATCCTTTATCTTTACGCTTGCTTTGGTGGTCTTGCTTTTAATGGGCAAGTGAACCGGCTCCATAATTATTATTTAAAATATCTGAAAAAAAAGATGAAATAATTTGTACCGTTATCTGTGACTGTAAGTGTAGGAAATTGATTTTTGACATTTTACCTTCACGAAATTTCATAAATACGACTCATTGTCAACATTTTGTATAAAAATTAACTTTATATCATTAATGAGTTTTCTTTTAATCTTAGATGTTGGGCCTTGGAGATGGAAACGTGTAAAACGATCTTCTTCGAGGTGTTAAATCAGAAGAACATAAATCTTTGTTTTCATTGTCTTTAACAATCCTGTAAATCAAGGAAATTCAATTTTATGATGCAAGTACACCAAAACACTTGAACAATGTTTAAAATCGAAAAAAAAATCCACGAGCCTACGAGATTAAACAAGTTTTAGGGCAAAAGCTTCCAAATTAGTTTTTCAGTGAATCACAAAATGATTCCTTACCTTAAAAAATGAGTAAAGAAAATGATTTTCTGATGATTGAAGAAAAGGTTATATTTTAGGAGTGAGGTCTAGACAAGAGAAGCAAATTGATTTTTCAAAGCTTTTTATTAGCATGACTAAATTAGATAAATGCTTATCATTAACGGCATTATTAACAAGAAACTTAAAGTTAATAAATAATCACTGCTTTTCCTTCTTTGGAAATTCTGGAACATACCCCTCTTTTTCCAATCGATCCTTAAATATTAAGTATTCTCGTTTTCTATCAAAATGCTTCACCTACAAATGCATTTAAATTATCAATTATGACTCTTTTCCATTGAGATTTTCGTAGATAAAGTTTTATACCCATTGAGATGGACAAAGTTTTTCATATTTTTTTCTAAATTCTTTGCAAAGATCCTCGGATTTTTTTTCATCCAGGCAATTCCAATATAAATCTCTATTTTCCCAGCAAACTGTTCGATCTTCTTTAGTTGGAAAAGACATCCTGAAACATAAAAAATCATCCAAGCCCTTGAGACATGGTTTTTATGAGAATTTCGTGTAAAATAAAAAAATTAAAAATGAAAGGTTGTACATGTACAGGTAATATTATTTATGAAGATGATTCAGATATTTTTTTCCTTACAGAGCAAGTGTGTAAGCTTTTGGTTTTAATAATAGGAAGTACTTACCTAAATAATAAGTTAATATACAAACTGGATCAGAATTAAAAATTTGATAAGATCATCACATTTTTAACACTTTTAAAAAGTATTGAAACAAATAATTTGCAAACACAACACAAAAGATTTTTTAAAGAATTATTACTTATTATTTCGATAAGTTGAAGATTAAGTACAGAAAAAAATTTAAAAATAAAGAACAATTAGCTTAAGTCCCTTAGATATTGGTAGGTTTGCATCTCTCAGCAGAATGAGTATTGCAATGGATGAGCTTGACATTCAAGTGAAACTTGATTAATCAAAATATGCATGGGCACTTGCACAACCTTGATTTAAAAATAATCAAAGAAATTTCAGGAGAGCTTTAAAAGCGTCAACAAAACTAAAAAAGTTTGCAGAATCTATCTTTAGAATCTTGGTAAAAAAAATTCATTTTAACTGATTCATCAATTGAAGTATATCTGTTTGATTCTATAAAAAACTAATTTGGAAACATTCTTAAGGTATTATTTTGTCATAAAAATCATTATCACTTCGAGGTATAATATTTTTCTTAAATTTTATAAGTTATTGATATTTCCTTTTCCAAAGTATGTGTGATTGTGAAATATGTTTGTGTAGTGTTCAAATACCTAATCGTATTTATAGACGTGTATCCATATTTATAATTATATTGCTTGGAGGAAACAAATTTTAAGGTTCTATACTAGGTGTTATACTCAAAATACACTACAAATTAGTTATGTAACAAAAAACAATGCAAGAGTTTGCAATAATGCAATATAAATGTAAAGCTTTATTGTTTCGATAGCATTATTTTTTTAAGTGTTAAAGAATACTGATTACTGAAAGTTTTATAGTAAAATCTTTAAAAAAGAACGGCAATCATTATTTTTATTTATTTTTTTTGATAAAAAAAAAGTCTGTACTCGTTATAAGTTTATAAAAATCAATATACAAGTGGGCGTGTAAAACTCGATTGTACAGCTACAATTACGTTCTACTTAAAACTTGTTTTACAAAAATTACTGGATATTCACATCCTCAAATTGACATTGTTCTAATAGCGTCGTAACAATATTTTTTAAACAAATCAATGTCGATGGTGATGATTAAACTTAATCTATGGTGTGGCATCCGGTTGATGTACTTGAGCAAAATTAATATAAATTTACCTGTCAACATAAAAGCTTGGAATGCCCCAGTGGCTTTGTTTATAGGTATAGGTTGCTCACTCGTTTCTGAACTTTTTGCTGATGATTACTTACTCAGACACACTTTGTATCCCTATATTATACCGATTCACAGCACGAAATTCTGTACTCAAAGTTCAAATCATGGTTTGAACTATTAAAACTTGTTATGATTCATTATAATCACCATGCGTGTTACCAACGTTTTGTTCATAAAAAATATAGTTGTTTAAATATGTATAATATACACGCACGTGTCCAAAGTCCAAAGCCTCCAAACAGTCCAAACTCCTTAACTCCTAAATTTGTAGGTTATGTACGACCCCCTACCCCCTACCCCCTACCCAAACCTCGACCCGATCTATAACAACGATACATGCGATAGATATATCGATGTTCACGATAGTGATGTATCGATTTAAATCGGCTCATCTATCCACCGATCCACCCACACAAAAATAAACGCACCACGTGACATTGCAGAAGTAAAATCTTCAAAACTGCGAAGGATTTTGCAATCTGCGTCCTGCGAGAGAGAAAGAGAAAGAGAAAGCGCATGGTGTGTGATAAAGTGATATGAGATTGAAAAGAGACTGAGGAGTGAGGAGGACGGACGGAGGAGCGAGGAAGTGTATATAAATATAATACGGGAAAAATTTGGGATGATATTATGGTTACTGATATTTTGAAGCAGAGTGTACTCAAGCTGTATGTGGGAGGGTGTGAGTATTCGTATAGAAACACTGCTGCACATGTATACTTGCGGGGAAAAATATATACCTGTATAACAGAGTAATACAAGTACAGCTTGATCTTTTTTTCTCTTTTTTTTTGTCTCTCGCGCGAACACATGTATACATACATGTCCAATATGGTGTTGGCTGGCCATCGTCCAGTCATCAGCAGTTGAGGTTGGCCGTGTCGGGCCAGGCCAACCTGTCGTTTTTCTCGTTGAAGACGAGTGTGATTCTGCTGCTGATGCTTTTTACCCGGGTACTAAGTGTATAAGGATATATAATTCTAGTGCGTGCATGTGCTTCAGTATCGAGATCAGTCTACCAGAAGAGAGGAAGGTTGACACGAGGAAGCGCAGAGAACAGCTACAAGAGAGTGAAAAACAATCAAGTGCCAGCATAATCAGAAATAATTCGAGAGAGAGAGCAGCTTTTCTGCTGGTCCCACGGCCGCCGTCGTCGACTTATTAAATGCATCTCTGTTCTCCTCGCCCCCAGCAGCACGGACTCTCAGCTCTTTTGCCCTTTGGCCTTGACGGCGTATCGGAGCTCAGCGAAAGCAGGAGCAGCTGGACCGACAGCTGAGCTTTGAGCTCGGAGAGAGCAACTCTCGGGCCCCGAGGGATGGAGCTCGACAGCAATTTGCCGTCGGGCCAGTCGACTGTCAAGGTCAAGCCAGTCAGTCTGCAGGACACCGAGCTCGTGGCCAAGGACATCAAGTCCAGGCTGAGCCTCGCGGTGGCCTGCAGCAACAGCGACGAGGCGAAACAGCGGACCAACGGTACCTGTCACCAACAGACAAACGGTAGCTGCGAGTCACCGTCTGATTCAGACACACCAGCTCATCAATCCCCTGGACTCACTGGTCCAGAGTCCAATTGCCTTGAAACTAGTCATAACAGTCAGCCACTAGGTGAGTGGCTTACAGTGTTGAGTTTTGTTCAGTTTTCTTCATTACATTTGATATGATATCAAATACTTTTCAGGTAAACTGCAGGAGGACACGTCGCACGCCAGCATAAGCTTTGAAATAGAATACGTTAGCTACACTAGTGAACTTCAGATGCCAGACATTATGAAAGTCATACAGAAGGACTTGAGTGAACCATATTCTATATATACCTACAGATATTTCATTCACAATTGGCCAAAACTGTGCTTTCTGGTGAGAGTTTGTGTTTGCTACATATATTTTTCCATCACGTATTTTTTTCTTGTGCTTGATGATTTATTTTGTTCAAATTAATCATTTGGATTTTAAACTGTTTTTAAATTTATAACTTATCAAGTTTTATAGTTAATGTACTTGAAAATTTGAATGTTTAAATATCCCTCAATGACCGCATCTTACGTCAGATGATAGATATTTTTTCATCTAAAACCTATTGTATTGTTTTAATGGATTTTTTTTTTTTTTTTTT